TGTAGAGGGGAAGCACAGCAGCAAAAATAACCAGACAGCTCTGAGACCACCTCAGGACTGGAGGGGGAATTCTCACCTTGCAGAGCCAAAGGGCCAAACACCAAGAAGAGCAAAGTCATAAGAGACCCAATCCATTTCCTAGCCACCAATCCTCTGGGATTTGAGTGATCCAAAAAGTAACCCTTTCAAAACGTTGATTCACAGCAAGCAAGGGATTGCTGCTCCAAATTCAGCATCAGCAGAGCCCAGGGAAGGCCATGGCAATGGAGCCACCAGCTGCCACTCACTCTGAGCACCAGGACAAACAGGGATTCCAGGAGATGCCCCAGGAAGGCACCAGGGAGGCACTCAGAAGGTGGGAGAGGCCTGGGGGTATCTCAGAACAATCACAGGGAGCACTCAAGTCTCAAGTGTGTGGAAGTTCTGCTTGGCTTTTCACTGTAATGGCACTAAAGAGGGAAGTGAGGAGAGTTGACTTCTCGGAGAACAGATTACAGGAACTCCAATCCTCCCTGCCAGAGACATTAGTGACAGGTCTGCACTTATCTCTGTGCCCTGTGTGAATGCAGGTCAGGCCATAAACCATTGAAACCAGAGCAGTGGCTGCATCCCTATAAATAACTTCAATATTTGAAGGTATCTGAACTGTCCACACCCTGTTCCATGGGATGCTTTTAACTATCTGTCTTGGGTGTCTGAGCCAGAAACTGAGTCCTGAGCACTCACCCTCCCGAGGGGAATATTTCCTCATGGAATAAAGCTAAAGCAGATGCATCTTCTACCTGCCTCTTACCTTCCCAGCCCTGTAACTGTAATTTTTAAAGCAAAAGAAAAATGAATTGTAAACCCATGAAAAATATCAAGTATAGTGGGTATGGTTCTTACCCCTTCCTTCCTTCTCACGAGTGGCAGCAAATAAGAATTTCCCTTGCACAGAACCACAAACCCCTCCAGGATGGCCCCCAGTGCTGGGGAGGGTTTCTCCACAAGTGCAGTGACACTGTATTTCCGTGTGCACAACAGGCAATCTGGGTTTTATTGGCCATAAAGAAGGGTTATGGATTGGGGCTCTGACAGTTAAGTGGTGATGCACAGCTGCCAGTGTTATTCCTCTGGTGTCTGCAGTCCCAGTGGTAAAGACCAAAGGCTAAAAAAAATGATACCTGGACCAAAATACAGTTAAGAATACAATGATGCTGCCACACACCAAATTACTGCATGAAACCACCCTAATCCAGGGACTCAGATAACAATGAAAAGTAGATTATATTTACTTTAATCACAGAAACAAGCAACCACAGCAACTTGTAAAAGGATTAAGCAAATACAGCTCGTAATACAGAGGAGTAAAATTCTAACTGAACACCGAAATAGGTAGATTGTGCTTATTAGCACTGAGGATGCAGTTCCAGAGATCCACTTGTCTCTATTATCACCCCCACCTAAAAGCTGTGCCACCAACCTGTCCCCCTCAAAAACTGCCTCCCTGCACTCAGGGGAGGGGTGTTTCCCAACTGGATATTTCTGACTGGTTTGTTTTCCTCCCCATTGTGTGGAAAGGCTTTTATGAATTTTCATTCAAACTCTTGGCTCACTTTTTTTTTTTTTTTTTTTAAGTATAAATTGTGTCTAACAAGAAACACACCAGGGATCTCTTCAATCCCCAAAGGCACTTTCTTAAAAGGAGAGAGAACAAAGGAGAAAACCTCCCAGCATGTGCTTTCCAAACCAGCTCCTTAGGACAGTATCAAGAATGACAATACTCGAACATAAGCTTTTCTTTCTCCTTCTTTGATCCATGTATAATTGAATTGATTATTGCAAACTGTGTAATGATTTCCAAAAGACTTGAGTGCAAGGCAAAGATCACAACAATCTAATAACCAATTTAAAGAGATGTAAGAAATATTGAAGGAAAGATTTAATCACTCAAGTATACTCCTTCCAATTAGAAAGAGCTTTAAATAGCTTACCTTGAGATAAATTAGAGTCTGTGTGCAATTATACAGGAATAGTAATTAAGATCAGGAAAATTCACATATGCCTCAGCCTATGGAGTTATGGAGAACTCCACAGACTTTCCAGTTACCTTATTTCAGCAGCAGAAATGAAAACATACTGGTTCAATTTATCCAACCCTTCCAGAGTACCAAAGAATTCAGTAACCTCACAAGTCTGGGATCTGCAGAGTATGTTTGATCTTATCTGATTATTTTTTTTTTCCAATGGGACAAACAGTCCCAAATGGGGCAAAAGACTGAAATATTCTTGATTATGGTGAGATAATACATTACAAAAAAAAAAAAAAAGGCTATTTCACGATTTAAAGCTCCAGGAAAAGTTATGGCAAGTAAGACTGACCACTGCTCTTCTGGAGGGAGCAAGAACTTTAATTTGCCTGTGGCAATACCATGGTATCACATTCCCCAATTTACACGTGCAGTGCTACCCACAGGTCTTTACATGGGAAGGCAGCAAAGTTTTAGAAACTTGCCTAAGTTTTCCTGACATACTTTTTCTGGCAAGGCAAGCGAGGCACTGCACAACCATTACATTTGATTTTAGTTTTAAAGGTCACTAAAGCTGAAATCAATGCCATTTGCTAATTAATCCGAAGAGAAATGAAAATAATTAAAGGAATTCACTGGTCATTCTTCAAACAGCAGAGTCTTAATCACAAAGCTTCCCTTAGGTACCTTTAAACTTGGAAAGAGAGAATTTAAAAAGAATTTTCGGGGGATTTACTCCTGCTCAGAAAACACCCACTGCCCCCAAGGACGATGTCACAGCTTTCCATTAGCCACGTTTTTCCAAGGAGCACTCACCTCATCCAGTACCTCCTAACTGAGCTGTGCTGCTCCTGGAAAACCACCCTGTGACAGCTACGACCCAAAGCAGGAATTTTTCGTGCCCCCTTGTCTTCCCCTCTCCTTCCTGACACAGAAGGATCCACCCACACACCTTCTTTCCTTGTAAAAAAAAAAATGTACTGAAGTCTCCAAAGTATAAACTCGTGAAGTAACTATTTTTTCTTACATCAAGCCCCCAAAACTAGAGGAAAACCCCAAGTTTTCACAGAATGCAGTGGGATCCTTCAGTGCCAGCCTGCAAGTGCCACTACCCTGAGCAGAAAAGTGAAAATGAAAATAAAACAGTCACCTTGGCATTTATTCTCCAAGCTCCTGAGGCAGCAACAGTAAGTTTAGGAAAAATTAATTTTAAAAGTTGTGATTTCTTCCTACCAGTTCTCAATAAGGAAGCTCTAGAGAAGGATCAAGACAGAGGTCTGGGATGAGGAGCAGACACAGAAACAGCTCTGTGAAAGATCCACCTGTGAAGCTGCAGGGAAAGAGGAAAGGACAGGCCCCCCCAGCCTGATGGACCACAGGCTTCAAGTTTCAAAGCTCCCAAGATCTATAAATTGTCAATTTTCACAGCCAAATCCTGCCTTTCAGCCCCGTCCCTTGACCTGTCATCTTAACACACACCCAAAAAAAAATCACTTTATTCCTTCTCTCTCCTCTCCTTTAACTCCATTTCAGTGAGTGTTGCTAATAAAGGCATCACATAAAGCCCATCTGGCTGCTGTGCACCCAAACCCCTCAGAGCTGGCTACCAAAGCACACTATTCCATTCGCCACGCTAAGACTGACAGAACTTTAATGTTGGAACCACATCCCAACCTTTTATCTCCTTATGTGGGAAGCACATTTTGAAAAGAAAAAGGACTTAAGGACAACACAGCTCAAGCAACACAATATGGTCTGAAAACACCCAGAAAAACCAAGGCCAGAGGAGGATTTAAAGAAGGATCTGAGGGTCCTGAAGTTGGACACGCTCCAGGTTTTATACTTCTTTACCTCCTGACAGCTCCTTAAGCATCTAGAAATGAAAGTGCCCAATACCTTTGATACGCAGAGAACTGAGACCTACTGAATCTCCAGGGAAAAACAAAGTATTTCCATAGTCATACCTTACACATCCCGCAGTTTGTTACACTTTTAACACACTTCTGATTTTACATATGTAACATAAACCCGGTTTTGTGCCTTTCACTGAATTAACTTTAAAGCAGGAGACAGGAGCCCTCCTGGTGAATAACGACCCTGTGACAACTGCGATCAAACTCCCAAACTTCTGCCAGGCTGCCGGGCGTGCAGGGCAGGGTTTGCAGCCCCACGCCCGGCACCGAAGCGATGGCAAAGTTTGGGGAAGGGAGGGGAACGCTTTTCCTTGGATTTTTGTGCGTGTGTCCACAGAGGACGCCCCGCCAGCCGCTGCGACGGTTCCTCAAACTCCCTGATGGATAACTGAAGTGATTACTGCGAAGTGCGTGACGACTTCCCAAAGGCCAAGGGGTGGAAGGCGAAGCTCGCGGGGGCTGCTCCCTGTGCCGAGCCCCCCAAAAAACCCACCCGGGCCGCACCGGGGGAGCTCCAACTCGGCTGCGGGGCGGCCGGAGCGCCCCGTTTCCATGCGTTTCGCAGGATGACAGGGACCGGCGCCAGCTCAGCCCCGCCGAACTCCTCCACCTCTGCCCGTGACGCGCTTCATCCCGCGGGGAGGGCGGCGAGCGGGGCCGCCCGGCGCGGTGCCCGCGCTGTCACCGCCGCACTCCCCGCAAACTTCGCGGGGAGCCCGAGGGCTCCTTCCCCCGCCCGCCCGCCCCGGCAGCGGCCGCGCTGCCCAGCGCCGGCACCCCCCGGGAGCTCGGCGGGGCCGCCGCCCTCCCCGCGCAGCCCGCCCGGCGCGGCCCGACCCGGCGGGCGCGGAGCGGGGCCCCCGCGCTGCCCCGGCGGAGCGCGGCCGGCGAAGGGGGGGCGGCCAGGGGAAGGAAGGCAGCTCCGCGCTGCGCCGCCCGCCAGCGTTCCCCCCGTCCCTCCGCCCCCGCTGCCGGCGGCCGCCCCGCCGCGCCCGCCCCAGCGGGACCCGCGGCCGCCCCGGCCCGTCCCGGCCGCGGCCGCGGCGGCTCCGCGGGGGGACCCGGAGCTGCGCTTTACCTTTAGTTCCGCACTGTCCGCCATCTTGCGAGGCCGCGCGCAGGCGCAGTGAACCCCGCCGGGACACCGCCCCCCCCCCTCCGCCGCCCCGCCCGCTCCCGGCGCGCAGCGTTTGAATCGCGGCGCCATTTTGTGCCTCCTTCTCGGGCGGGGGGTCCCCCCCTGGTCCCCACCGCCGGTCCCCGCGCCCCTCAGCAGCGACCCTCGGCCCACAGCCCCGATCCCTCCGCGGGGCCCCCCAAGCCGCCCCGGTGGCCCCGCGTTGCCGCCGCCGCCCTGCCCGCAAAGTTTCCCCCCTTCCAGCGCGGCCCCCGCGGGTCGCTCCGTGAGGGGAGCGGGCGGCGCCCCCTGCGGGACCCGCGCCCCGGGACACCCCGGAGCGCCGGAGGGGAGCGGTGGGTCCCCGTCGCTGTAGTAAATAAATGAAGTTGATTAAAATCGGAATTTGCGGCTCTGCTTCCTGCTACATAATCCGCGGGTTTAAGTGGTTTAAGAGTGGAACAGCACGGGACGGGGCTGGGGTCCCTCAGCGGCGGTGAGGAACCCTCAGGCTCCTGGTCTGCACAAGCAGAGAGTGATAAGTTTTATAAATAATAAGTCTTATTCCCCTGGGCTTCTGCAGAAAAGTTCAGGGAATCATCACGAGCTTGCCCGGGTTTTCCTCTTACAGAGGAACAGCAATACAGGTGTTCTTGGGAGGCCTAAGGAGTTGGAGCAGAGCCTTGAGGTGCAAACTTGACCATTTCATGTCATTTTCGAGTAAAATGTGGGTTACTCCAACAGCAGACCAGGTAATACAGGGGGAAATATATATCAAAAATGCTGCCTGGCAAGATGACAGCATCGGTTGTGAATTGGGCAGATTAAATACTAATATTTAAGTCACTTTGGCTTCGTTCATCTTCTTTTTATCTATGTGTCACTCTATAAATACAGATCATCATGAGACTCTTCACTCGGCCTTCACCTTGGTGCATAGAAGAGAAAAAAAGAAACGAAATTTCCTACTTCTCCATAGCTTCCATAAAATCCATCTCCACATTCAGAAAGCATTTAGGTTACGTGCATTGCAAGACAAAAAAAAAAAAAAATCCCCCAACATTAATGTCTCCACTCTACAGATTAAAGTGTGTTTTGGGGCCACCCAGGGAACGTGTGGTGAGGAGATTACCACTCCTGGTTATTACTGAGTTATAATTTATCCCATGTGACCTGAGGAGTTGCCCACGATTTAAAATTAGGTAGTTTGCATTGAGGGAAGAATGGGAGAGTGGTGTCAAATGTCTTTCTAGGAAATAGGTTTTTGATATCATCCTCTTTATTCATAAGAATATATACATATATATGAATGAATGTATGTGTATGTGTATATATATATGAAGTCCTGATTCTCTGACCAAAGAGAACAACTCCTATGTCTTTCCAAACATTCCATTCCCAAGCATTTCTCCCAGAAATATTCTCCAGCTTGGCCTCCAGAAGGCAGACAGAAAATCCAGGTGACTCCTCGCTGGGACCCCTCTTTCATCTCCAGGCCATGCCTACACCCCACTTTTATTGCAGATATCCAAATATCCGCTGTTCTCACGGATTTCTTTGGCGTTCAGCATATCAAATGAAGCATTCAGGAAATGAGGAGCAATTAGAAGAGGCTGATAAGTGACACTCCGATACTCCAGCTTAATCCTGCGTGTAATGAAGACTTATCAGAGTGTCTCAAAGGCTGGTTTGGGGAGGGGGCAGGGCGAGATATCTAAAAAAATAAAAGTCAGATGACTCCCCAGAACGCCCACGGGTGCCATAATTAGCTGCTGTATTTCAGTGGTCTGAACCAGCCCAGTTTGGAACCCTTCCTTTGAAATGATCCAATATGTTTAATAATTATGATCTAACGTGATCGGTGAGCTTGTGTCTCATCTCAAGAATTCGGCAGAAATGGTCTCTAATTGTATAAAGACAAATCCTTTTTGATTTCAATTACTTTTTTCTCCCCTGAATGAGGCTGCTGCGCAGCAAACAGTTTTTTCCTCTGCTTCTTCACTTCCTACCAAATTCAGTGGGATGTGGACATGTGCTTAAAGTGTTTTGCTAAATCATGGCATAGCACTATCAAACTTGACACGTGGCCATAAACCACAGTGTCCTCTTTCAAAACCTGCTTTAAATAAAACAGGCTGAGAATGTCTTCAGCTACATTAAAATGAGGAAGAGAACTAAAGCAGAGGATACCAAAAATTTGGTTTAAAATGCTTCACCCTAACTACTGTCAGGGTTTTTACAGACAAAGCTCATACAGGCCCCTTATTTTTCAGTTTGGACTTTTTGATAGTCAGTTGTTTTTAAAAGCAGGATATGCTTTAGGATGAAGAAGGAACTTAATGAGAAAAACAATCTGTGCTTCTATATTTAGACTATTATTTACATGTAATGAAATTTTGTTCCTCTCTGCTCCTGAATCTCAGATGATGGTTTATTGCCAAGAAAAGACTTTGTCAACACACAGTGATTTTCAAAGGTGCTCCCAGTTGTTCCAGCTCTGGCTGTGATGGCAACACTCAGATCTGTCAGGATTCTGTCTTAATTTAAAAAGGACATACCTGGGGTGCAACTGGAGAAGGTAAAAATACCCCCAAACAGTCTTCCAGTTTTCTTGTTTCTGAGCTAAAACTCCAATGTTTTTTCTTTTGACCCTTGGGAGGAGAGAAGATTAAAGATCAAGATTTTCCTCAACCATTCAAAATTTTGATATTTTCAATTCCCGATTTTCAGAAGTTCATTTCCCCCTTTTGGCCATATCTCAGTAGAATAAATTACTTGAGAATCTACCTCTCACCCCCGTTTCTTCTAATTCCTTATTCTGTAACTTGTCAAAAAAAATGGATCATGTCACGTAACTCACTTGCTTAAAACCGTGTTCAGACACAATAACATTTTTAAAACAGATATGCAATTTTTCTACCAACATATTGTTTTCATTAGTCCGAGTCTCCGAGAATTTTCCCTCTTTGTCTAATAGTCCAAACTTACTCTCTGCTCAAAAGTACTGGGGGGCATTTTTGATCCTGAATACAACTTATTTTATGATAGATTCTCGATAGAAAACACGACCAAGCCACCAAAACCTGAGGTTGTTGGAGGCATAAAAAACATTTAGATGTGCCACCGAAATAGCTTTTTCTGAGGGACAAAAAGAAGCCACAGAGGTACATTTTAGTGCAAATTCCTTGGCTGCGTGTGCAGAAAATGGAGCGGCAAATCTGCCTGATAAAATAAGTCCATTTTTTATAAGCAACATACGTGGCACTGCTCAATATGCTGTGGAGTCAGTTCCTGTTGAGTGACTGGGACTTGGCTGGTGCACACATCTCCCCCTAAACCCACATCCAAGAGCAATATTCCATTAAATTATATCATATTAGGTTACCATCATCTCGCAAGTTTGGCCCAAACAAGGGCTGCTACTCACTTAGAAAAGTTTCATCACAGCTTTGCTGCCTGAGCTCTTTGAATTCCCAGAGGGGGAGTTAATCACCCAAAATCCTAAATTAGGGGCAGATACTGGACCATTTTGCTCATGTCAGTGTTATATCCTTGGATCTCCTGGCCTAACAACATGGAAAGCACGTGGAAAGGAGTTATTATAATCTTTAATTACATGCACAGCATCATGGGGTGACACATCCCAGCTCCATTTCGTATTTCCTGTTTTTTCAGTTCTCCAGGATCAACTTCCCTCCTTTCTGTACTCACACAAGCACCATTTCCAACCCCGAGTACCCAAAGCCTGCCGTGGCCATGGCACAAACTCTGCCCCCCTTGCAATTTTTTTACAAATCTAAAAGAACTTTAACCTCACTCCTTGATTTTTGAATGCCCTGGAGATTGTATTCCCTGCCTGGAATTCCACATTCCAAGGCAAGCTCAGCTCCCTCCATCCTCCACTGCTCCACAAAGCCTCTGCAGCTGCAAGACAATAGTCCTGGGCACAACAATCAGCCCATTCTTTACAACTATTTCTTCATCCTTCCCACCCCAGTATCACTGGATCGTGTGTGGAACAAGATGAGCTTTAAGGTCCCTTCCAACCCAAACCATTCCAGGATTCCAGGAGGAGATTTATGTCCTGGGGGACTTGGTTTGTGCTGAAACAAGCGCCCTCCTGGCCTTGCATCCACTTTACCTTAATTTCACTCACCTAAAATTAACTCCTGGACCTTTTACTGCCACTGTTGAGTGGATCTGGTTCTGTCTATACCTTTATTTGCTTTTCTTTTACATCATTATCCATTTCTTTTTTTGGTTTGTGTTTTTTTTTTTTAATTGGAACTGGAAAGGTTTTTTCTCTCCAAAGAAATGGCCATTCCTGAGATATTCATCTACAGTTGTAAAAGCATTTCCTCTGGCCGAGTTAAATCCACATTTTTTTGGTCAACAAAATTCCATTTCCATTAATCACAATTGGCATTTTTTTTTGTCATTAGCACCCATTTTCATAATGTGTGGGTGCAGTAAAAGAACAAGGAGTGAAAAGCAACTGCAGCAGGACGTGGCTGATCCACAGGGAGCTGAGAGGGCCATGTCCAAACCTGGAGCATCACATCCTTCAGCAGCTTGAAATTGGCCAAGAACTATTTGAACACAAGGACAGAAAACTACGAAAAGCTATATTTGTTTCCAAAATATCAACCCAGAGGCAAGGCAGCCTTTTACTTACCCTGTACAGACTTACAGCATCAACAAATCCAGGTTTTCACTGGGGTAAACTCTTTCATTCCAATTAAAGGTGATTTTTTGTAAGACTGCAATGTCCCAGTGTTTAAGTTGGTTTCTTCAGATACTAAATAATTCTGAATAAGCAAAGTCTGGGGCAAATAAAAATAACCAAGGTCCTAAATTTTCCAGAACTTTAAGTTATGTGTTATTCTCCGCATTCCCTCACTCACACAGTACATGTAAAATACTAATATTTTCACACAATCCTAATTTGTATCAATTTTGCACAGAGCATCAGTCACATACAGTGATTTAGAAA